CAGTAAATGTTATTGTTTACAAGAAATGCAACTAGCTTTTGCTCTTTGTTGGCACTGGTAGCCACTGTAAAACAATAATTAATTCCTTTATTTTGCTCTGGTGATTGGCACTGTGCCTCACTAACAGCAGGTGGGTTGGTCACCACATCAAAGGACATGTACATAACTTTACCTGTCCAACTCCTTCCTTCTATCTGTTTGGTCTAACTCCTTGGCTATTTTTTAACTTCCCTTGTGACACATCCATCCTGTGTACATTTATAAATGAGTATTCTTATCTTAGTAGGAAGTTTTGTCTCTGTTCTTATTTTTAAGTAAGCTCTTAGAACAGTGAGGGAATTAGAATCAAATGCCCACAGAATAGTCAGCAGCCACCTCTGTGCATGCCCATTTATTTCAGTAACTACCTGTTACATTGCTTTGTTCCCCTCCCTGCAGTTTGTAGGGCTTCAGAATGACATATTCCATAAAGCTTTAGAAATGCAGATCTGGGTAATTATAGATTAGTGAGCCATTTTCCAGTAAAAAAAAAAAAGCTTATAACTATTGATGCCTTTGTATACAGACATGGATGTGTATTCTGAGAGTCACTAGGGTTGACTGAGGTTACTTGTTCAAAATAACAATTTATGCTATTAATAATGTAAATGGGGAGGAGGAGAGATGTAGGGGTTAGCTGAATCCCTATAAAAAACTGAAAGGGGAATCAGAGTATAGGAAATACAAACAACAACCCTACTTGATGTAGAGTAAGAATTAAAATGCACCACCAGCCTCTGTGATTAGGTGAAATCTACCTTCACTGACTTCAAAGGTAATTTATCCAATATATGTCTGTATACTGTAGTCCTTGGAAGGAACTGAAATAATATACTGGTTTTAATCTAGGAAGGAATGAAAATATCAGTGGCAAATGAAGATACAGAATTTTGGTTACCAGAAATAGAAAGCTCAACAGAGTTGAACTGACTGAGAAGAAACTCATAAAACTGGGGAACTGCTTGTTTGATTTTGATTAGGGATTGTTTCATTGGTAATTCTACTCTCCTTGCATATAGTGACTTTCCTTATGGATTAGAGCATTGCTTATTGAGGCTTGAAGCTGTGTTTGTGAGGCTTCAAGAGAGACACCCAAAATCCTTCAGTTCTGAGCCTCCTTGCCAGGACTGCTGGAGATTGTCTATTGAGGATTTGAGTATCTCCAAGGGTAGAGCTTTCAGAACTTCTCTGGGCAGCCTGTTCCAGTGTTTGACCACTGACACAGCAGAAAAGTTTTTCCTCCATTCAAGTGGAATTTCCTGTAATGGTTTCTGATTGTCACCTCTTGTCCTGTCATTGGGCATCAGTGAGAAGAACCTGGCTTCATCCTCTTTACATGCTCCCATCAGGCACCCCAAGGAGAGGACAAGGATCAGTCTCTGCCTGCTGGTGATGCTCTTCCTGATGCTGTTGGCCTTCCTGAGTACAAAGCTCATTGCTGGCTCACCTTCAGCTTGTTCTCCACCATGATCCACAGGTTATGTTCTGCAGAGCTCTTTCCAGACTGAGAACCCTGTGGGACCCTGACAGCCTGTGTCTCCAGCTGCCTGAGGTCCCTCTGAATCACTCATCTGCCATGTCAAGCACTGCTCAGGGTTTTGGATTGCCTGCCATCTTGCTGAGGTTGCATCAGTCCTGTGATCCAGGTCACAGATGGGGCTGCTGGGCCTTATTTGCCCCTGGGCTGCTCCAGCTGTGTGACTGACCTCCAGCTGTGTGACTGACCTCCAGCTGTGTGACTGACCTCCAGCTGTGTGACTGCACCTTTGTGCCACTCACCAAAGCCCTTTGGACCTGCAGTTCAGCTGGGTTTCAGTCCACCTCACTGTCCACTTATCTAACTTGTACTTCAGCAGCTTCTCTGAGGCTTTTATGAGTGAGTGTTTTGAAAGCCTTGCTGGAGTCAAGGTAAACAACATCTGCTGCTCTCCCTGCATCCACAGAGCTGCTTTCTGCATTGCACAAGGTGTCACTGCTTAAACATGATTTCCCCATTCTAAATCCATGGTGACTACCCCAGATCATCTACTTGACTTTAATATGTTTGCAGATGTTTTCTAGGTTTAGTTGTGCCATCATCTTCCTGGGAACAGAGGAGAAGCTCATTGGCCTGTAGTTTTCTGCATCTTCCTTTTTATCCTTGTGGAAGATAATAGTGACAGGTGCTTTCTTCAGAAATCTCCTCTGATCATCACAGCCTTTCAGACCTATTGAATCTGGGATTTGGGCTTCATCTATCCTTCTATCAGTTGAAAGCTAATTTTGGATTACAGTGTTGTTTTTATATGTTTTTAATTTTTTTTAAAAATAATGCTAGGACTTTCTTGTTCATTATGTACTAGAATAGCTTAATCTTTTTTTTTTTTTTTAACCCTTACTCAGAAACAGTAAAGAGAGGTATTATAATAGTTAACTTTCACAACCATCTTTTCCACCACACCTTTTCAAGCATTCCTTCTTGTCTGTTGAAACATGATTTTTCAGAGAGGGCAATTTTGTTTCTTTGTATGTTCTAACAAGATGTGGATACCCTTTTCTAACAATAGGGCATAACATTCACATCTCAGATTGGATGATCTGTGAAGTTTTTGCAGAAAGACTTGAAATGTACACATAAAAACAAAACTGCAGGTTATATTATGTAGCCCAAAGTGGTGGTGATCATGTGCCCAAGCCACATTAATTTTCCACTTTTGATACAGGAAAAGAGTCACCTGACTCAAGCAGAGGAAATCTTGATATTTAGAAGACTCTTGTGAGATTGTCTCCTTATTTCTCTATTCCTTTAAATATCTGGATTAAATGAATTTAATAAAATTTGATCTAAATATTAGAATACCTCACCTTCAGGGGAACCTTAGAACAACTTGTCAGTATTTGTCTTATACAGATAGGTTGAACTATCCACCTGGAGATTCCTGTCCTGGCTGTAGATTCTACCCTCAACAGCCAGTAGAGGTAGAATCCCTGGCTGTAGAGGGATTTTACACAGCCTGTTTAAACCAGCAACTTGCCTAAAATTAATTAATCTAAAATTAGATGAGAGGGATGTGCTAAACTATTCCAATAGCTTAAGGATGAACATTACAACTCTCATGTTTCTTGAGTTACCTCTTTTCCAAAGATCTAGTCAAATTATGAGGTTTTAACTAATCTACAAGTGAAAAGACATTTTGCACTTGTAATTACTTACTGGTGTTTTCCAGAATTATTAATGACACTTTTAAAACTGAGTTTAAGGTAGACTTTGTTCATATGCCCTCAATGTAAATAAGATAGCAATGTATTGATTGATTTTTACAATGTTGATAGATTTTGAAATACTTTTTTTTTTAATTCACTTTGTTCACAATTTTGAAGCTAATGAGACAAGGAAAAATATCAGTGAGAGTAACTAGAAACAATTTTAACCTCTGCTGGGAATTACCTGATTAAGTACATGTCACAATACCAGTGTAGAGTCAAATGAAAAGCCCCTCTCCGTCCTCTGTTAGAATGGTTCTATAAATCAGAGTTAAAATCTATTTAAATGTGTGTAAAATTAGGCTCCCACATTCATTCATGCCCAGGTACATAGTAAAGGACTAAATTTTCTAAATTTCTGAGGATCTACTAGATTCCATGGCCACTTGGACTGCATATTATTCATAGGAATGGTTCTCCCCAGCTTCTCATTACTGGAAATCAATAGCTGACAATGGGAGTGTTAGTTTTGTGTACAGATTAAATAACTGCTTGCTTCAAAAAATGGTTTTAAAATATGCATTACCATAAGCATTGACACAACTGTATTTTTAAATGTTTCTAGAAACTAAAAAATAAAAAAATCCAGTTGGCAAGTGTTTCTTCTGAATATTGATGGACTGAGAGCAGTGTTGCTAGTTTTTACCCATGCTGTGAAAATATTCTGTATTTTGTGTGGTATTTTCCTATCTCTCTCTGTAGGGTGCTGTGGCAGGTGTTCAACTTGAATACATTTAATTGTACATCTTTAAGGGTGCTACTAATGCTAGGAATGGCACTGTTGTGGTTTGGGGGTTTTGTTCTTTTGCTTCTGCTTTAGATTTCAATAGCTTTTGCTGTCTGATTACATCCCTCTTAAGTTTAAAATAACAATTTTGAGTTGAAAATTGCATAGAAAATGATCATTCTGATTTGGAAATTATATAGCACTATTCCCACTCTCTGAACTTTCAGTGTTACATAATATTAATATGTTCCTCTATTTCCTGAACCACTTGCAAATTAATTACATGGAATGACAAAATCAGAGCTTGATACACATTCTCTTGTCATGTGTTGCTTTTCTAGATAAAGAGGCATAAGGGCACAAAATAACAGCAAGGAGTTGTTGTGTGCATCTTTGATGCTTTACTGGAGGTGTATGAACCCAGATCTTGAAAAAAAAAAATCTGCTGCTGATCCTAGACCTGCATGTTGGTTGATAAAATTAGCTCTAGTTTTTAACCTGTACTGATGTGATGTAGACAATAAATGGCTCCTTATTTATCATGCATTTAAAAAAAGTAGAAATAGATACCAGAAAAAATCTTAGAGGCTGAAGAATATTCAGCTCCTTTAGCCTGCAGGCAAGATTCACATGTGTTCTTTTCTCAGAAGTAATGCAATATAACTAAAAGACACAGGTTAAAACAAGAAGAAAATTCTTTTTTATTGGATTGCTAATTATCTTCTATGGTGCATCCCGAGATTAGGCTTTGAAATGGCCACAAGTGAGTAATTGTTCTTAGAACCTTCCAATTTTCATGGAAGAGTAAATATTCAAAAGTGTATACAGATGCAGAGTGTGAAGATTCCTTGGAAGGCAAAGTGGTTAATCTTTCTTATTATATGGGGAAAAGTTGTTGGCACTAGTACCACTAATGCTGGTAATAAACTGTTCCTAAACATATTTTAATGAATTTTTACTTACTAAGCATTTTTATTCTTCCTGTTTGTAGAACATTCAGGGTATCTCTAAACATCCAGTTACAATTGCAAAGAAACAGTACATAAAAGGTAAACTGTGTTTTTATTAAGGTGAAAAGACAGTTTTATCTAATTATTTTACTGTGTGGTATTACATTTTGAAGCAAGCTGATAGGTCCAGCATTAAATATCAGATGATCAGTGCTTTGTTATACATTAACATTTAAACCAATTACTTTTTCTGGTGGTTCCTGAAAAAAATATTTATTGTTTTAGCACTGAGTTAAATAGTTACAAGCTTTTAGATTTATTTTGCTTCCCTCACTTTTTCCAAATGAAATTATATATTTTAAATATCCTAGGGATGATTTTATGTGTTTAGCTCATAAGGCTTTGCCTGAGTCAATGTTTAAGCTGGGCCATTTTAATCATACTCACAACTAAACACCAGTAGTTAGTCGGATGTGTTGTTTTTGATAACAGATGTGTTAAGGCAGATGATTTAAGGCAGATGGTTCAGAGGGAATCAAAGTGAAGTCTAGAAAAGCCTGAGCCAAGTGATAAAGAGAGAAGCCCACAGTAGCAGACTCCAATATAAGAAAGGTTTTGGAACACACATTCTCCTCCTGGAATGCCTGCAGCCACAGCTGGGCAGTGCTGCTCAGTGTTTCTCTGCTAAGGGCAAGCTTTGCCTTTTCACAGCTATTCACTCCCTGTGTTGGAAATAATACAGGTCATTAAACAGGAGGCTAGGGCAGATAATGTAAAATTTTGACAGCAGTTTTATTTTATCTACATGAGTCATTTTTATAAGTATTTTTTAAAAGTTGCTATTAAAAATTGTGTCAGCAGGGGCAGCATAAACCTGAGGTGCTGGACATAACTGTAGCACATGAAACTTTCTGGAGACTTTGTTAATCATCTTATATGCATCTCAAAAATGTATTTCTAATTTTTTCCTGTATCAAGACACATTTTTTCTATTTTCTTCACTTTTATGCTGACCAGATTGTCACATTTCAAACCACTATCCCTCCCTACACTATGTCGATTGATATTCCCTGGATGCACTCAGTTTCTAGTACCTTGTGTTAGTGTTTGATCATATTATTGGGGATTTCTGTCATTACAGTTTGGATGCCTATGACAGCTGTATGTTCTCAATATTATATTCCCCTACCATCTCAGAATTTGGTTATTAACACATTGCTGCAGCATGTTCAAAGATACAAAAATACATATTTTTACTTATTTTTCTAGATCATTCTTTATGAGCATATCCTTTATTAAGTGATCTGTGAATAATTTTAGTTATTGTATATATTTGATAGCTTGTGTTTAGGAAAGGTTTTGGATTTGAGAAAGGAAGTAAGCAGTGCTGCAAAGAATGGTGGAGGTAAAGTTGTACATGACTGATATAGTGAAATAATTGTGGTGCTGGCAGTTGGTGCTCTGCTAGTTTGCTTACACTGCCATTTCTGTGGTGTCAGCTGTGTATTTGGTATAAAACCTTCTATGGTTTGCAGCACAATACTTTTGAACTGGAGTTTGGGATTTAAATGTGTATCTCCTCTCTAGGAAAAGAAGAGGACATAATAACTATTTCCCCAAGAACTCTGTTTGTTTCAAAAAAAGGATGTACGTTTTTAGCAGCAGGTAAGAAAGAGAATTATTGTTCTCATACATATTAATAGTCACAGTTCTCTCATGTCTTTTTCCCCTCTCCTTTGGATGACATATTTTACAAGGCTGTCAAATCCCTGAGTAACAATTAATTTTGTTATGTGATGTGTGTTCCTTATTATGTTTTGGAAGTGGATGATGTTTTAGCCTTGTGAGTAGAAACAGCTAATAAGATTAATTGACATATGAAGATAATGAAGGATTGAGACACTTTGTGATCCATAGCTGGAATATGGAATCTTCAGGATGAGCTTCTTACAGGCATTTGCCTTTTTTGAGAATGAAGAAAAGATTGACTACTCCAGGCTTACATTTTAATTTGTGATAGTCTGGTTAAAATGCAGGTATGTTTTTATTTTAGAGCAATAGATACATTTTAACACTGTTTTCTAGACTTTTCCCATATTGAGTTAAGGATCCTTGCTGACTTATCATCTGAACCAGAACTTCTGAAACTGTTCCAAGAACCTGAAATCACTGATATCTTTACTACACTGGCTTCTCAGTGGTAAGATTAAATGTTGCATATTTTAATAGTAATTAGACAAAATATTAAGAATAACCTAAGCTATTGTATTACTGCATAAAGATAACAAAAGACAGTATTTTGTTACAATATCTATTGTTCATACTATTTTAATACTATGAATTCCCTTCTGTCTTTTTGAGCCTTCTGTTCTCTACATATCAAAATGCTGCAATCCGACTGGCCAGTATGAGCCTTGTGGCTAAAGCTGATGCAATGAAATATTGTGAAGAGTGGTTGCTGATAACTTCCTCCTTTTATCATTTTTAACCAATTCTTTTAAAAAATCCAGAGCAGCACTTAGAGAGGTTATCCATCTGAAAAAAAAGAACAGCTTTTCTCAGTAGATGTACAAGCATTTTTGAAATTTATTTAGATATCCAATAGAAGTATTGGAATCAAATTATATGTACTTAAGAAACAGAGACTAGAGCTTATGGGATTTCTTTTGAACTAATAGGGTTTAGTGCTTCCATAATCTGGAATGATTTGGAAAAATTGCTACACCAATCATTCAAAAAAAGGTAGATTAAAAAATCTCCATATCTATATAATTGTTTACTGATCTCTTCAGTATGCCAATTAAAATATTAACTATCAAAAAAGATAGAATATTAGTCACTTAACTGTTGAAGGTATTTTATATTGTTGTTTATATCGCGGTGATGCCTAAAATCCTCACTTGAGTCTACTACTCCATTGCACTCAAAAGTGCATGAGCATTCAATAAGTGCCAGGATAGATGTCAAGAAACTTTTGGTTTCAACAGATAGGTCAGAAAAAGATTGAGTAAAATGCTGTAACATAAAGCTGTTTGAACAGAATGAAGTTCAGGTAAATATTTTGCAATTTACTTATTTTCTTTGTCTCCCCCTCTCTTTTATCTTTTCATCTCCATTTTAGTTGGATGATTGTTAGCTGAAAATGCAAGCAAAAATACCTATGATTGATTGAGCTCAGTTCTCATCCTACAGTTTCTAAATTTTTGCAGGCATGGTCTTCCCAAACATGGTATTTCCTACACACTTCCGTAGTTCACAGAATCTTAGAATCCTAGAATGCTTTGGGTTGGAAGGGACCTTAAAGACCACCAGTTTCCAGTTCCCCTTCCACAGGCAGGGACACCTTCCTCTGCCCCAGGTTGCTCCAAGCCCCATTCAAAGTGGCCTTGAATGCACCCAGGGCTGGGGCATATTTGTTAATATGCTCTGAATTTATACAAAGAAACAAAATGGAGCTCAAATTTTATTTATTCTGCTGCCAACAACTGAATCAGTGCTTGAGACACGTGCATTCTGGGAGAACAAAACTCCAGACCACAAACATTCCATCAAATATATCCATGGAAAGATCACCTTTCTTTTAAAGTTTCTTAGAAGCTTCTCTTGATACTGTAATCAATTCTTAGCTCTAACACGCTATCGCTGGAACCTCATGATGGAGGTAAATCCTTATTTTAGTTTGATGATTTATTGGAAATGTATGCATGAAGATGAGTCAAATTTTGTCTCAGCTCTGGGCACAGCTCCAGAATACCATTCTATTCAGCAATCTCACGGCTCTTGGCAGCCGTCAACCTCTTGCAGTTGCTACACGGTAACTTTAAATTTAATGAAGAATTACAGGCAAATATTTTTATCAGACAGAATTGTCATGGTGTGCCTACAAAATCATTACATAATGATTCTGCTGACTCTACTCTCAAGCTTCAGTAAAGCTAATGCTTGGAAGAAACTTCCTATTGAATCTGTTAGATGACTTATGAATCACAGAAACACGAAGGGCGTGTTTAATCTCATCTAACCTTGGACATCTGTCACATACTTGGAGAGATTCATTTGGCAGACTGCTGATATGCCCTATGTAATAAGATCAGTTGCACAATAAAAGTGTTGAGTTCTCACCATTGAGAACAAAGTAGGTCTGCGGTGGCCAGCTTAAATGTGGGCATCTGTATTTGTTCTGACAAATTGAATTCCTCCTGTTGGGTCAGTTCCTACTGAACTCAGCTTGGATTTTTGAATGTTGTCCTTAATTTCTTTGGCACCAAAGAGAAGATATAAAATTACAGGCTTCACAAATGCTTTCTCATTCCAGATATCTATTCATCTTTCATAGTCTGCTATTGATAAATAAAATCTTTAGGGCCAAAAATTAGTCAATTGACTTTATTGTAGTTGATTCTACTGACTGGTATTAGAATCAGTTATGAGAAGAACAAAATAAACAACAAATCTTTTATCTCTTCTTGGTCATCTGGTTTTCTCTGGGTCTTAATCCTTTAAAATCTGTGCAACTGATACACCAATGGCCATAGCAAAAGTTTCATTCTGTTTGAAGGAATTGCATGTTGTTACTATTTGTCTTTCCTGATACAATTGGAAAAACCTTTACAAAAGAAGGTTTTTTTCTCTACCAGATCTATAAAGAATGGATTAGTTTCTGAAGCTCCCTCTCCAAGGACAAAAAATTAGGTTAATGTTAGTATCTAGTAGCATATCAGCTTCGGAATGCATGTCAGGTGGTATCTTTTAGCAGGTTTTCTGTATCTAAAAATCCTTAGTCTGATAAATATTAAATCATAAATAGAGAAGAATGCATTATTGGATAGAAATCTGAGCCACACTCCAGAGTCCAGCCAAGTTTTGCATCAGTTTATTCACTTATTTTTTCTAAACTTCATAGCTTCTTCACTGAAACATGACTCTGGTCCTTAGCTGCCTTTCAGCTGCCTTCAAATGAAATCCAACCTTTTAAAAAACTTTCACAGGCTTTTTATAGCATTTGGCAGGAAATACACATGGGTGGGCAGTTTCTGCAAAGAGGTGAACTCTATGAGTTCCTGATTAAATTAAGATCTCTTATGTATAAAGGCTTTCCTTTCACAATTTGCTTTGGTATTCTATGCTGTGACTCAGCCTATCTCTGGTGCCTTAGAGATGCATTTCTCTTGGAACCCTGTTGGATCCATGTTTCTGCTGAGCATCATTCATACGGAATCTTTACCCTGGTCAGCAGAGCAGGTAGAGGTGTGTGTGTGTCAGCCCAGGCTGTGTCTGTACATGGTAGTAAAGGGCTGAGTGCAGGTATTAACTGTCAAGCTAAAATTCACTCATGTGCAACACAGTACCCAAACCAACCCCAGTGAGAGGCAAGGCTCCTGCCAGGCTGGGCTGGGATCTTGTGCTGCTCTGGTGAGCTTGCAGAGACAGCTCATTTCAGGAGTAACTCAGCTCCAGCATTCTGTGCCTCCCTGCTCTGGGCTCAGCTGTTTGCTGGAGACACTGCTTGCTGTAGAGTGTTTTTGAAGTATTGTGTATTCCCTTTGGCAGAACTGTCTTGAAGTGGCTATTCAGCTAAAACTATCAGAAGCTGCAGTTAACTTCCACAGAACCACAGAATGGTTTGTGTTGGATGGTTTGTGTTTAAAGATTATCTAGTCCATCCCCTTGCTATGGGCAGGGACATCTTCCACTAGACCAGCTTGCTCATCTCTGCCTTGTACAGCCAGTATATTTTCTGGTCATCTAACATAGTTACCCCAGCTAAAACTAAGGTGATAGAGATTTTGATGCTCACTTGTATATGCTTAGTGCTCTTCCCCCTGTTTGCTGTGATGATGATTGTAAGGCATTACCAAATTATTTTACAGTGAGTCCTCTGTTATGTCCTACAAAGAAAAAGCCTTAAAGACAGGTCAACACCTGCTATTACAACAACACCAAGAGTGCATTACGTTAATGACACACTGAACACTTGGCAAAGTTTCAAGGCTTGCCTAAACTTTTAAAAATTCATGATATAATGGATTCTAGCTACCTGCAAGTTCACCTTGTGTTATGTTGCCTTGATGCCTTATGACAGTCATAATCCTTTTCCATCCAAATCATCATCCCAGTGCTGAAGGTGATGAGAGCTGTCCTGGCAGCTGTCTGACCAGCCAAGAGACCTCACTACCATTAGACATCCTGATGACAACAAGCCTCAGTGTGAACTTTCTCTCACTTCTTTAGCTTTTACAAAATAAATGAAAAATAAATAATTGTATTTAAAATGCTGTTGATGTGCATATCTTAAAACCACTTTCAAAAATAGATGCTGAAAAATAAATTTAGTCTTTTAGCTAATCTGCACTTTGCAAAATTTAGTAATTCCTGGTGTAATGATTAGCTGTCTCTTTCAAACTGTTCTTTTGTCACCCTTCTCAGCAGGTTGTTGTTCCTCCATCATAGTATATACTCATATTGGCAACGTTGAGTCAAAAACCAGGAGAAGTATCTTGATTTAGCTAAGCACTTAAACACATCATAGTATGATGTATTTCATATAGGGGTTTCATCCTATCTGACTTCTGCCTACTTTACTGCTTGAGTGCTTTTTTAAATTAGGATAGTACTGCTTCAGAGTTCCTATGATTGGAGCATTCATTCATACTTAAAATATTTGGGTAAGTCCTTTCTTTGTTTCTTTAGAATTTGTCTCTGACAACTGGAGATCCCCAGTAGTGACAAGCTCAGCTGCATCCAGCAGAGCACAGTACTGCCCTCTATTAGGGGTCCTGAGGGCAGCCTGGCCATACAAATGCAACTCTGTTATTTATGGCTCTGAACAAGCTTAGTCAATTTAAGCTTGAAGATGTTGTCACTGTGATCCATTATTTGCTGCAGATATTCCTAATATCTGGAAAGTATATTTATGTTCTATGTTTTATGTTCTCAAGCCTGAAATAGAACACTGATGTGTCTGTCATAAATGGCCTAGCAGATTTATGAGACCATTTTGCCCTTTCTAAATTATAACTATGAACTAAGATGGTAAAACATGTAGACTTTATATCCTCGTAAACCAAGAGGTTCAGAGGAAAAGACCCTGTAAGAAGATTTGTTGCAAATGGATTGAAGTGAAAGTCCAATACTCCTATATCCAGAAATTTAGGAAAGGGAATACCCAGGTGAATTATAGTCTCTAGGGATAATACTAGC